AGCCAACAAGCTCTGGGTACGGGCCACTCGACTCTACGGACTCATCCGAAGGCAGAGCTGAGAGCGAGTGGCGAGTAGGCAGAGGAGTGGCTTGAGGCGAGGAGTATGTGAAGCCGAAGTGCTGAAGGACCTGCTGCACCATGTGTGACTGAGTCAGAGTAATGGTGCGGCGTGCTCTGTCCCGGGTGATCTGCAAGCCAAGGTAGCTGCGCAGTTCACCCAGGTCTGTGCACGTGTGTCTCTTCTGCAGCTCGGACTTCACGTGGGCGAGTCCAGCAGTGTCAGCTGTGGCAAAGACCAAGTAGTCGACGTACACGAGGATGTAGAACGGAGGCAAAGAAGTGTCGGTGCGCAGAAACAGCAACGGGTCAGCAGTAGAGGGAGCAAACCCAAGAGCCGCAAGCGTAGTCCTCACTGTGTCGTGCCACTCGCGTGGTGCCTGGCGAAGACCGTAGACTGGCCGCCGGAGGCTCCACTGGGTGCCAGGAGGAAAAGTCCAAATGAAGCCAGGTGGGCGGCGCAGCCAGATCTCCTCGTGCAGGCTACCTTGAAAGAAAGCAATGCTGAAGTCAAGAGAGTGAAGCTCGTAGTCGCGCTGAGCGGCAATGTGCAGCAGCACCCGAAGAGTGGTCATCTTCGGGGTGGGAGAGAAGGTCTGAAAGTAGTCAGCTCCCTGCCTCTGACTGAAGCCACGAGCCACGTACCGCGCCCTGAAGACAGGCGGGGAATCGGGCGGCCGCTTCACCCTGAAAATCCACATGCCACTGATGATGTTCGCCCCAGGTGGGGGAACCTCGTCAACGTAGGTGCCTGTGGACTTCAAGGAAGCCATCTCTGCGTCCATAACTGCCTGCCACTGAGAGGAGTAGGGAGCCTCTATCGCCCCCGCGTAAGAGCGCAGAGTCGGGATGTCAACTGCATCCGGGTCTCCCTCAGAGGTAAGCAGTGCGAACACGAGATGGTGAAGCAGCAGTAAGACACTGGAACTCCTCCTGCTTGTCCTCAAGGACGTCCGTGCCAAGGGCACACTCACCCCCGAAGGACGGAGGTCAGACAGACTCAGACTCAGCGACAAGACTAGCAGCGTAGTCTAGACGACAGCGAGCAGCAAAGTCGACGAGCTCAGCAACTAGGGAAGACGCAGCAGTGGACTCAAAAGAAGGGTCAGTGACAGCAGTAGCAAGGAGACGCGTGACAGTAGGACTGGCAGCACGAAGAGAGTCCGACTCAGGGTCGGCAAGAATAGGAAGAGAGGACTCAGGAGGAGAAGGCAAAGGGGCACGCAGAGGAGCAGTGGACGGACGCAGAGACATCCGGTGCGTGCCAGGGACAGGAGGAGGACGCTCACGCGAACTACGACCACTAGCGCGGGCAGGACGGACAGGCGACGCAGGGCGAGATGCAGGCTCACGACGCTCAGCAAGACCTCCAGTAGGACCAGTGTAGGGAGAAGGAGCAGGTAGTGTGGAGGCGGTCTGTAACTTTAACTGTGACAGGACAGGCTGTGGACACTCTAAGGGAGGAGGAGGACCAGTAGAAGGCGGGAGACCAAGAACCTGCTGAAGGAACGGAACGAAGTATGGCCGAGGCCGCGCGGCGACTCTAGACACAGCAGGGACAGCACCAGCACCCCCAACGGCAGCACCAGCGCCAGCAGCACCTCCAGCTCCAGTAACTCCAGCAGCACCGCCGCCAGGACCGACACCAGTAGCCTCAGCGCCAGCACCCTCAGCAGCTTCAGCTCCAGACGCACCCGCCGCCCCAGCAGCTCCAGTACCTCCCGTACGAGCACCTCCGGGACCGGCGGCACCAGCACCCTCAGCAGCCGAAGAACCTCCAGCTCCAGCAGTACACCTCCAGCGCCAGGCAAACCACTCGCGCAGCTCCTATGGAGAGAGTGGCTCCCGCCGAGACGAAGCACCCGGAGAACCTCCAGGCCCAGCACCGCCGGACGCCTCACAAGTAGGCCCAGCTCCCTCAGGCTCAGCACCTCTAGTCGTAGCACCCCCAGGCTAAGCACCCCCAGGCGTAGTACCCCCAGGCTCAGCACCCCCAGGCGAAGCACCCCCAGGCTCAGCACCCCCAGGCCCAGCACCCCTAGTCTCTTCACCCGCCTCCCTGACTCCCTTCGCGTAGTCAGGGACCACTTCCTCTCAGTCTGTCCCACCACTCTCACTGTTGACCTCCTCGAGAAGGCCCTCTTAGCAGCGGAGAAGATCATAGTCGCTGTAGGAGCCTCTTGTGGTGACCCGCGCACCCCCATCTTTGAGGGGTGTTCCCCCTCCCCCCTTTTGCCCTCTGTTGCCTCTTCTGCTGCGGCCGACCTCGTTGGGCTTGATTCGGTCGGTGCGGCGTCTACCCCTAGCGGGAGACGCCGCCCTGGCAAGGGCAAGGGGGGCAGGGGCGCTGGAGGAGCTAGCGGGGGCGGTGGAGGCGGCGGTGGAGGGGCGGAGAAGGCGGGGGTGGCGGCGGTGGATGAGGCGGTGGCGGAGGAGGTGGAGCTAGTCGGGGTGGCGCTGCGCAGAGGGTCGGCTCCGGTGGTGGTCAGCGCTAGCAGCAGCAGCAGCGCACTCGTGACATCCCCCCCCTCAGCAGCTCCGTGAGTGGTACACTGCACGCCAGCGGGGTGGGGGTACTGGTCCGTGCACCTACGTCCTGCGCACCGGCGACCGCACGGGTGAGCAGTGTGGGGGTGCGCACCCCACCTAGCGCTGCTTTGGCCGCCTGACGGACGCTTGGCGTCACCAGTTTCCGGAGGCCACGGAGATCCCCCGCTAGGGTGAGCTGTCTAGGGCGGGAGTAGCTATCTTTGATCTTGACTTTGATGCTATTCTTGCTGCCATGTATGCTGTGACTATTAGTGATGAGAGTGACTGTTACCAGTGTTTCCCGCCCGACCCAGGCATTGAGACTGCTGCTCTAGGTACTGGTGGGGCTGCTGCTCTAGGTGCTAGCGAGGCTGCTGCTCTAGTGTGCCCTTGGCACGGACGTCCTTGAGGACTGGCAGGAGGAGTTCCAGTGTCTGGCTACTGCTTCACCTCATCTCGTGTCCGTACTGCTTACCCCTGAGGGAGACCCGGGTGCACTTGACATCCCGACTCCGCGCTCTTATGCGGAGGCGATAGAGGGTCCCTACTCCTCTCAGTGGCAGGCAGCTATGGACGCAGAGATTGATTCCTGGAAGTCCACATGCGCCTACGTTGACGAGGTTCCCCCACTTGGGGCGGAGTCGGGAGCACTAGGGGGGGGTTCTTGGCGCAGAACTCAGCAGGAAGCGCAGCGCGGTAGCGAGTGTCACTAGTGCGGAGGTGCGTAATGAGGCCAGCGACTGTGGGAAAGGCAGCAAGGCCAGGAAAGAGGTACGGTAGCATGAGGCGGCTCAGTGCCAGTGGCAGGGGTGGAGTAGCGTGCAACTACAGCGTCGTACAAGGTCTGAGCACTCTTGTACTGACTAAAGTGCGCACGCTCAGAGGTAGGCAGGTGGCGACGCACAGCAAGACGTGCAGCAGCATCGCGCGTGGCCCACTGTGAGCGAACAGTGGCGTCAGCATCAGCAGCAGGGGCAGGAGAGGCACCAGAGGTGAGGTCAAAGAGGGAGAGACCGTCTGCCCTATCGCACTGTAAGAAAAGCAGCATGTCATCTATCCAGACGTCAAAGTCAATGGCCCGACCCTCAGCGTCAAAAGCGAGGACAAGCGGGGTAGCCATGACAGCAGTAGACTAGCAGCGCAAACAGTAGGGTGAGGGCAGTTCTGAGAAAGAGGCGCTGCTCTTACCGGACAGGGCGGCTCGGGCGGTTCGGCTGCAGGGCGACTCGGCGGCTCGGCAGCTGGGCGGCTCGGCGGCTCGGCTGCTGGGCGGCTCGGCGGCTCGACTGCTGGGCGGCTCGGCGGCTCGGCTGCTCGGCTGCTGGGCGGCCCGGCGGCTGGGCGGCTCGGCTGTGGGCGGCTCGGCTGCTGGGCGGCTCGGCGGCTGGGCGGCTCGGCTGCTGGGCGGCTCGGCTGCTGGGTGGCTCGGCTGCTGGGCGGCTCGGCTGTTGGGCGGCTCGGCTGCTGGGCGGCTCGGTGGGGCCGCTGAGAGGAGGCGGCGGGGCCGCTGAGGTAGGTGGCGGGGCCGCAGATAGGTGGCAGGGCCGCTGGTAGGTGGCGGGGCAGCAGGTAGGTGGCGGGGCCGCAGATAGGTGGCGGGGCCGCAGATGGGTGGCGGGGCCGCTGGTAGGTGGCGGGGCCGCTGGTAGGTGGGGGGGCCGCTGGTAGGTGGCGGGGCCGCTGGTAGGTGGCGGGGCCAGCAGGTAGGTGCCGGGGCCGCACAGGTAGGTGGCGGAGCCGCAGTTAGGTGGCGGGGCCGCTGGTAGGTGGCGGGGCCGCAGGTAGGCGGCGAGGCCAGCAGGTAGGCGCCGGGGCGGCACAGGTAGGTGGCGGGGCCGCGGTTAGGTGGCGGGGCCAGCAGGTAGGCGCCGGGGCCGCACAGGTAGGCGTCGAAGCCGCAGGTAGGCGCCGGGGCCGGTAAAGGGCGGCGTCAGGGCCGCAGGGCGGCGCGAGGGCCGCGGGGTAGGCGACGACGCCGCAGGGCGGCGGATCGGGGCCGGGAAAGGGCGGCGCGATGGCCGCGGGGTACGCAACGAGGCCGCAGGGCGACGGGTCGGGGCCAGGAAGGGCGGCGCGAGGGCCGCAAGGCAGGTGACGGGGCCGCTAGGGCGGCGCGACGGGGTCGAGAAAAGGGGGAGCGTGACTCGGGCTAAGGCTGAGCGCGCTCCGGGCAGGAAAAAAAAAATTCGACTTGGTGGGCCCTAGGAACAGTTCCCACGAGGGAACTTGCTCGATACCATGTGAAAATTGAAACGAGAATGAATGAACTATGAAACAGCTGGGTACAAGTACTAACCCTAATAAGGTTGTACCCCATATGGGCTACCCCACTACAGCCTACCCAAAAGCATAAGCTATAATGTTCTGACAGGAATACTTGTCTCAACCTTGCTCTCGGCAGGCTTTCTATCCATGCGCAGCAAAGTACCCCCAGGCTCGTCCTCTCCTCGTCCTCACGTGCAGGTGGATAACCACGGGCGAATTAACTCGCCCAGTGATGACATCTGTGTAGCCTTGGCGAAGAACGCGAGCAAGGTGGGAAGTCCTACCGTGGCCTCCGGTGCGAGCTGTGACGGGGACGACGGAGAAGAAGCGAACGGCGACGACGCCGAGGAGGATTGACCGGAGAACGGCCAAGACGACAGCGCTTTGGGCGACGAATTAGGTCCTGCCGACATCGAGGAGGACGAATGGTGGAATCGGCCGGTCGGGAGCGACGACGAGGTGGAAGAGTGGCGGGCTAGAGATTGGGACAACGACGGAGGTGAAAATGCGAATGGTGACAACGCGGAGGCAGCGACGGATGCACAGGAAGCGGCGATGGATGCGAATGAGGAGGCTGAAGACGGCGCGGTCGCAGTTGCGGATGCGGATGCTGTGGCAGAGTTGGACACGGTTGCTGCGGATGCCGTCTTATTTGACGGTGAAAGCGGCAACGACGACCCATGGAGCCTTGGGACAGACGACGACGTTCCGCTACTGAAGCGGAGGCTGCGCCATCGCCTACAGTCCAAGTCAAAGCGGGCCCGCGTGGTGCTCTTTGACGACGATAGTCCGGGGGAGGAGCGTCGCCCGAAACTCACCGCTGCGGAGAAGGGAAAAGCCAAGGTCGCGGAAGCCCCTGCTAAGGCCCCTGCTCGTCACCGCACAAGCAACAAGAAGCGGACATCCGACGGAGACCCGGGATCTAGCAAGGTGCGGCTAAGAAGAAGGCGAAGAAGGCGCCGAATCCTGACGACATCGTCGTGAACGAGACTCTGGGCAGCGACGATGAGTACGCGGCGGCGGCGGGCCCGATTCCCACGTTCCCTCAGAAGGTCACGCCGAAGGACCCCACCCTCCATAATCCCAACACCCGCCCACCTTCCCCTTGCAGCAAGGACACTATGAGGAAGCGCCGCAGTTGGACCGTGTGTGAGAAGCTTAAGTGGGCGCGCCGCTATCCGGAGCTCGGCTCCTTGAAGAAGACGAGCGTGGAGTCAACCGCGTCCATCGCTTGCATCAGACGCTGGAGTGCGGAGGCGGCTGCGGGCGTTTACAAGGGCGCGGCTAACTGCCGCAAGCGGATGCACCGGGGGGGGGGGGGGGGCGCCACTCACACTACCCCGACATGGAGGCAGCGTTGTACCGCTACATCTGCCTTCAGCGCGCTAACGGGTTGGCCATCTCGGTGAAGGACACCCAGAAGTGGAGCCACGAGTGGATGAAGAAGCATCACGCCGGCAAGAACTGGAATGCAAGCTCTCATTGGAGCCAGCGTTTCCATGACCGCTGGAACCTGTTGATGCGGCTGAAGACCAAGGTCGGCCAACGACTGTCAGCAGGTGCGTGTTGAAGGAATTCGTGTCGCGCGCGGGCTATTGAATGCATGTCCCTCATCCAGTGTCTAACCATCCCGTGTTTCCGTTGCGCGTGTACCGTTTGCAGAGTGCACGAAGGACTGCGAGTCCTTCTGGAAGTTCGTGCGCATCAACAGGGCGCGGCACAACATCGACCTGGCCCGCATCATCAACGCGGACGAGACTCCACTATTCGTGGAGATGCCAGCCGAACGGACGATCGAGCACCGCGGCGCGCGCTCGGTCCCAATCCGCACTGCAGGCTACCAGAAAACACGCTTGACGGTGATGCTCGCGTGCACTGCATCCGGGAAGAAGCTGCGGCCGTGGGTGTGGTTCAAGATGAAGAACGTCCCCAACTGTGAGATTCCGGAAGGTAAGCGTAATGAATTCAACCGTGCGAGTGCCTGATGAGCGTGCCCCACTGTGCTGAAGCCCGTCTGTCCCTTGTGTGCCTGGCAGGAATCGTGGTCCAAGCACAGGACAACGGGTGGATGGACGAGAGCGCTGTGCAGACCTGGCTGTCCAAGGAGGTGCTGCCCCATCTGAACCCCCAGCGCGGCCAGAACGCGAGGCGTGCAAGGCTGGTGTTGGACTCCTACCGCGGTCACATCACCCAGACCATGCTTCAGTCGTACCGCACGCACAGTATCACCCCTGCAGTCATCCCAGCGGGTTGTACGAGCCAGATTCAACCCCTGGACGTCTCAATCAACCGGTGCTTCAAGGCTGTTGTGCGAGCGCGCTACGCCAGGTGGTTCATGCGTGAGGGGATTCACCTGAAGACGAAGAAGGGTGAGTTGGTCCTTCATTTATGGTATTATTCCTATTCTGTTTCCTGTCCTTGTCTTAAACATGCTCCTTCATGTCCGTGTCTCTAGCATCTCGCTGCCCCGTCCTCAAACCCACCCGCAGGGAACCTGCGGAGGCCGCCCCACCCCGTGGTGCTGCAGTGGATCGCGGAGGCTTGGGATCAAGTCCCCAAGCAGATCATCATCCACGCATTCCGCCAGTGTGGGATCTCAAGCAAGCTGGACGGAACGGAGAACCACCTGGTGATGTCTCACCTGCGCGCCAGGAGCACCACTGATGTCTCAGCGGACATGTCCCTCGGGGGGACCACAGGCGACAACACGCGCCTGCTCAGTCGGGCTCCAGAGGAGGAGGAGGAGGAGGAGGAGACGGCTAGGCATGCCTGGTGAGTGCCAAACCTGGGTGTAGAGCCTGTTGTTAGCGCAGGCGAGGAGGCGGTGACTGAGGGGGGTTAGGTAGAAGTAGAGATTCATGAATGTATGCATGTACCCTCCTAAAGTAGAGAAGGCTCGTTTAGAAGACACCCCCTGTTTATAAGAAAACCCCTAAACACCGGTTCTGATTATAAGACATATATGTCTTAACTCGTACACATAAATAGGTGTCGTATAAAAAGGCTAGCCTGTTTGTAAGAGACACCCGTATAGTAGACAACCCCTGTCTACTGTTCAACACTGTCTTGTATCCGGGCGATGACGGTACCATAATATTTTGCCAGCATGCAAGTTATATCCTCCTGACACAAAGGCAGTTTCTAGTAGTTTTCACTCCGCCCTGCTCTGGAAGACCAACATGTTGCAACAAAATGCCTCAATGGATTTTCCAACATATTCAATATACAGTACAATACCTGTCATTCGCATATCTGAAAAGAAACTGAAACTTTATTGAGAAGAAGCGAACGAGGATGAATGACTATGAACGAAGTGAGTACAAATAGGAAACCCTAATTAGGTTGTACCCCCTATAGGATACCCCACTAAAGCCTACACAAATAAGTAAGCTATAATGTTCTGACACACCCCCATAGGCAAAGTGGGGGAGAACAAGGGGTCACAAGACCAGTCAAGCAAAGCAAAGCTCAGGGTGGATCACAAAGTCACCACACATTCCGAGCGCAAGGTCAAGGGCCACAAGGCCAGTTCGCATGCAAGATCATATATAGAGATATACAAGAGTCAAGCAAGCAAGAGCAAGAGTATATATAGGACAAGGTACAAGCAAGGTCAAGAAGTGAGCAAGTGAGGCAAGACAGGCACAAGACCCAACTGCGTGCAGCAACGCTGATGATCACAAGGAGCAAGTGCCTTGGTGAAGACATCAGCAGTGTTGGCCTCAGAGGCCACGTACGCAAGTCCCAACTGTCCACGCTGCTGCAGCTCACGAGCAAGAACGTAGCGGAGAGCAATGTGCTTTGTCCTGTGCTCCAGTCGCTGCTCTCGACACAAGGCCAGCATGGCCTTGTTGTCTACGTACAGGACTGGAGGAGAACGAGGCGGCTCTCCAAGGTCGGTCAGCAGGTAGGTGAGCCAGCGAAGCTCCTGAGCAGCCATAGCCCCGGCGTAGATCTCAGCCTCACAACTGGAGCCGAGAACAGAAGACGAGCGAGTAGCCCGCCACGAGACAGAGCCTGAACCAAGGCCGAAGGTGTAACCCTGTGACGACCGCTGCGTAGCCTGGTCGTCAGCCCAAGAAGCGTCCGCGTGCCCAGTGAGGACCACTGGACTGCGCCCTCCAAGCACTAGCCCCATGCCCGACGTACTGCACAAGTAGCGCAACACCCTCTTCGCTGCAGCCATGTGCTCTGGTCGGTGTCTCCCAGGAGCAACATAGCGTGCAAGAATGCTGAGAGGGTATGCAAGGTCAGGTCGTGTGCAGGTCATCAGGTACATGAGGCAGCCAACAAGCTCTGCATACGGGCCACTCGACTCTACGGACTCATCCGAAGGCAGAGCTGAGAGCGAGTGGCGAGTAGGCAGAGGAGTGGCCTGAGGCGAGGAGTACGTGAAGCCGAAGCGCTGAAGGACCTGCTGCACCATGTGTGACTGAGTCAGGGTAATGGTGCGGCGTGCTCTGTCCCGGGTGATCTGCAAGCCAAGGTAGCTGCGCAGTTCACCCAGGTCAGTGCACGTGTGTCTCTTCTGCAGCTCGGACTTCACGTAAGCGAGTCCAGCAGTGTCCGCTGTGGCAAAGACCAAGTCGTCGACGTACACGAGGATGTAGAACGGCGGCAGAGAGGTGTCGGTGCGTAGAAACAGCGACGGGTCAGCCGTAGCAGGAGCAAACCCAAGTGCCGCAAGCGTAGTCCTCAGTGTGTCGTGCCACTCACGTGGAGCCCGGCGGAGACCGTAGACTGGACGCCGGAGACTCCACTGGGTACCACGAGGGAAAGACCCAGTGAAGCCAGGTGGGCGACGCAGCCAGATCTCCTCGTGCAGGCTGCCCTGCAAGAAAGCTGTGCTGAAGTCGAGAGAGTGCAGCTCGTAGTCACGGTGAGCAGCAACGTGCAGCAGTACCCGAAGAGTGGTCATCTTCAGGGTGGGGGAGAAGGTCTGAAAGTAGTCAACCCCCTGCCGCTGACTGAAGCCACGAGCCACGTAACGCGCCTTGAAGACAGGCGGAGAACCCGGCGGCCGCTTCACCCTGAAAATCCACATGCCACTGACGATGTTCGCCCCAGGAGGGGGAACAGCGTCGACGTAGGTGCCTGTGGACCTCCAGGAAGCCATCTCTGCATCCATAGCTGCCTGCCACTGAGAGGAGTAGGGACCCTCTATCGCCTCCGCGTAAGAGCGCGGAGTCGGGATGTCTAGTGCATCCGGGTCTCCCTCAGGGGCTAGCATTACAGACGCAAGATGAGGTGAAGCGGCGGCCAGACACTGGAACTCCTCCTGCCTGTCCTCAAGGACGTCCGTGCCTAGGGCACACTCACCCCCGACGGACGGAGGACAGGCAGACTCAGACTCAACGACAAGACTAGCAGCGTAGTCTAGACGACAGCGCGCAGCAAAGTCGACGAGCTCAGTGACAAGGGCAGACGCAGCAGAAGACTCGAAAGAAGGGTCAGTGACAGCAGTAGCAAGAAGACGCGTGACAGTAGGACTGGCAGCACGAAGAGAGTCCGACTCCGGGTCGGCAAGAGCAGGAAGAGAGGAAGCAGGAGGAGAAGGCAAAGGGGCACGCAGAGGAGCAGTAGACGGACGCAGAGACATCTGGTGCGTGCCAGGGACAGGAGGAGGACGGTGACGCGAACCACGACCACTAGTGCGCGCAGTACGAACAGGCGACGCAGGACGAGACGCAGGCTCACGATGCTCAGTAAGACCTCCAGTCGGACCAGCGTAGGGAGAAGGAGCAGGCAAAGGTGAGGCAGGCTGTAGCTGTGACTGTGACGAGACAGGCTGTGGACCCTCTAAGGGAGGAGGAGGAGGACTAGGAGAAGGTGTAAGACCAAGAACCTACTGCAGGAGCGGAACGAAGTACGGCCGGGGCCGCGCGGCGACGCCAGAAACAGAAGAGACAGCAGCAGTACCCCCAGCAGGAGTACCCGCTCCAGCAGCACCTCCAGTAGCTCCAGAACCTCCAGCAGCACCACCAGGAGCACCACCAGTCGGACCTCCAGCGGCAGTCTCAGGGTCAACACCCTCAGCAGTACCAGCTCCAGGAGAACCCTCAGACCCAGCAGCTCCAGCACCCACAGTACGAGCACCGCCAGGACGCTCGGCAGCAGTACCCTCTGCAGCCGAAGAACCTCCAGCACCAGCAGCACGCCTCCAGCGCCTGGCAAACCACTCACGTAGCTCCTGAAGGGAGAGTGGCTCTCGGCGAGACGAAGCACCTCCAGGCGGAGCACCCCCAGTCGCAGCACCTCCAGGCTCAGCACCCCCAGACTCAGTACCCCCAGGCTCAGTACCCCCAGGCACAACACCCCCAGGCTCAGCACCTCCAGGCTCAGCACCCCCAGGCTCAGCACCCCCAGGCTCTGCACCCCCAGGCTCAGCACCCCCAGGCTCAGCACCCCCAGGCTCAGCACCTCCAGACTCCGCACCCCCAGGCTCAGTACCCGCAGGCGTAGCACCTCCAGTCTCAGCACCCCCAGGCTCAGCTCCCGCAGCAGCACCAGAGTCACCAGTGACCTCGACAGGCTCGACCGCGTCTACCTGGGACACACCTGAAGGGGCAGGATCCTGAGGGGGGAGGGGGTGTGCCGGGGGGGGACCTGGTACCAAGAAGAGCGGGGGCGGGGGGAGGGACGGAGTGCAGTAGGGGAAGAGGCGGTAGTAGGGCACCGACTCGTCGAACGTGACGTCCTGGGAAGACAGAACACGTCGAGAGGTGGGGTGGTAGAACTGCCACCCAGGGGCGTCGGGGGGGAACCCCAGGAAGACGCAGGGAGCAGCGCGAGGGGACAGCTTGTCCGCAGACAAGTCGTGGACAAACGCCCGAGATCCCCAGACTCGGAACGCCGACGCATCGCCAACCTTCCCCGTCCACAGCAAGGCTGGGGAGGTCTCCGGCCAAGAGACCCTGGGGTGGAGGTTGATGTGATGCGCCGCGTACCTGACCGCAAACGGCCACAGAAAATGGGGGGCAGCCGCATGCATCATAGACGTACGAGCGACGTCCATGACCATGCCAATGCGGCGCTCTGCAATCCCATTTTGCTGCGGTGAGTCCGGAAGCGTGAAGGTCTGGCGGATGCCTCGCGCACGACAGAAGGCACGCAGAAGGCCAGAGGAGAACTCTCCGCCTCTATCCGAGTGCAGACGCAGCACACGAAAGTCCGAGCCAAAGCTCTGCCTGAGCTGGAGACGAGCTGCGCGGATCCAGTCGATCAGCACCTCACTGACATCACCCTTGCTGCGCAAGGGGAAGACTGTGGTGTAACCACCAGCAGGAAGTAGCACTCGTGACCGAGTCCACGGACGCGGGCAGGGCCCCACACGTCCATGTGAAGCGTCTGCAACGGAGCCTCTGTCGGAGGAAACTGGGAGGAGTGAGGGGCAGCACGCTGGCGCCCCTCGACGCAGGGGACACAGGCAGGGCCAGGGCCCTGAGGAAGGGGAGGGAGGGACCGGGGGAGACCAGACACAAGGAGACGGGAGGCCATGCCTCTGAGCCGAAGCAGAGAGGGGTGGCCAAGGCGGTGGTGCCAGAGGAGAGTCTCGTGAGACAGACGGCGACACGAACAGGGGGCAGACTCAGGACCAGACCTGGACGCTGCAGCAAACGCCTGACCAGACGAAGGGACTCTACCAGACTCAGCACCGGGAGGAGAAGCAGTGGTCAGTGTGTACAGGCTCGACCCTGGCTGACGTGTAAACGTAGCTAGGTGGCGACCTGTGCTAGCCTCTGTGCAGTGTATCACCCGCTGACGAGCAGGAGTGAA